GCTTTCTCTCTTTCTCCCTCTCTCTCTTTCTCATTTTCTCTCCATTTTTATTTCCTGCGCTTTGCTAATGGCTGTAAACACGACTGGCAACTAATTTGACATCGCCCAGCGTCTGTTCTCAACCCCCGCTTGCACCGACCGATTTTTTACACATATACGTATATATTTATATATATTTTTTCAAATCTATTTGCCTATTTTTTTTTTTTATTTATTTTCGTTTTTTTTTTTTTGACAACCTGCTAGAAAATCGTTTGCCCATCCGGCAACATCGACTGAAAGTACGCTGCATTCGAAATTTTTTTGTAATTGCTTTGACCAACACTCGCGTTTTGGGTCTCACATGCCTGTTGGAGGCCATTGCCATGTTTTACTATATCTATATATATACATATACTATATATTTAATAGTTACATATAGCACATGCATATAATGCATTTAGACTGCAGCTGCATGCGTCAAGCTGCATCCGAGCGCCATTGAATGACGCAGTGCTGAAAACTGAAATGGAAACATGCATATGGAAATGCTGTTGGCCAAATATTTATGTGCATACTGATGCCCTCAGAAGAAGTACCCAAAAGGCCATTTGATTGACCAAAATATATGAAAATAGTTAGCTTTTGCTTTTGCTGAAGTGCATCTATCTGAACAAATGGCTTGAAATACAGTGGCTTAACAAAATGTAAATGGAGGTTAAGCAGAAAGGAAAAAGATAATTTACAGATATTAACTAGACCCTTAAACTAGACCCTTAAGATGAAGGAACTGAAACTTAACAGAAGCTTTAAAATGCTAAACACAGTGGTACATATTGTTAACCGAGGTTAAACTTAAAAAACTTTAAAATATGTAAAAATTACCTAACATGGCACAAATGCAAGCTAAGCAAACAGAGAGAAGCAGATGTTAAGTTATTTAGGTTAGTTGTTGACGGTATGTCAATAGTGTCCTATCAGTGATTAAACAGCGACATAACTTAAATTAGCAGGCATCCAATTTTGTTAACATAGACCTTAACATATGTTAAATAGAGGTCCTCTAAAAACTAAAGAGTTATTTACTCAGGTCTTACAGAAGCTTGACAGAGCTCAATATTTCTAAACTGCTGTTTGCGATATCCAATTAGGTTACGATAGCTTTTAACCAAAATAAATTTTTCCCCTTTTTAGTTATTATAAGGCACTTCCACATAATTCCTACGTAGTATAGATTTTCTAAGAGTTCTCTAGATTTTCGTAGAATTTCTTATATTCTTATATATATATGTATTTTAAGCCATTTCTGCAAACTGTTTTTCGCCTCTATTTTGCTGTTGAAGCACACAATTTTAAACGCAATAGAGAAGCATATTTCGCAAAGTTTTTTCCTTACTTTCCCCACTTCATTTACTGCAAAATTACTCAACACTCGACCGTGGCACATAAATTTCCCACGCAGTTGATTTCTGAGACCAGAGGAAAATATAAGGCAAATACTTTGCTTTTTGGTCGCTGTTCAAGCAAGTGAAGTAAATATTTATTTTAATGCACACTCAGCTTGAATTGTCTCAGGCAGTGTAACTGTGCAAACAAAAATACATAGATAGATATATACATATATAGATAGATATATGTATATGTATCTTAACTTATCGCTCAATATTGTCTTGCGCAATTTCTTTTAATTTCTTCGGCACGATTGCGTAGTTAAGTTTTCGAATTCTCATTAGACTAAGTTGCCAGCCCACACAGCTGAAGAGCTAGACCGACTCTGACAGACATCAGGGCTGCACCACAACCCGTCCCGCCTGTCTCTCAAAAGTCTCAGTCAGCCCCAACCGTGCCTCGCCCAAAAACCAATGTCGTAACCACAAAAACTTTGCAGCTCCCCAAGACTGAGATGGCAATACGTATCTTGAGCTTGAGACAAAAACTAATGCATATGTTTAGGCATTTTAATTTATATACGACAACCCATCCACACACACCCACACACCCACACAAACACACACACAGTCAGTCAACTTCTAAGAAAGCTCACACATGCACAACTAACTCCAACCCCCAACTTGGCATGCCACCCAGCCCCCGAACCCCTCTGCCCCCTCTGCCGTCTCAGCTGCCGGCGTCGTTGATAAAAGCAACTTCCATTTCATTTAAACTACAATTTCCTTGACAGCGCACAGAGGCAACCGCTCAGCTCAGTTCTGTTCAGTTCAGTTTAGCTAGGGGTTGGGGCTTGGTCTAGGGGTTGGCAACCCTTTCACGCACTTATGAGTTAAACGCAAATTTTCTTAGCTGCCTTTTAGGCGCTCCGCCTCGTTGCAGAGCCTGAGCTCGTCTGCACAAATATGTCATCGGCAGTTGGCAGGCACGAGCACTATACCCACACCCACACCCACACCCACACACACACACGCACACACACTTGAGTCGTTGGTAATTCATTATGCGTGTGCTTAGAGGCTTTTTCGGCATTGTAGTGCTGCGTAGTTGTAGTCAAAGACTGTTTTTAGGCGTACCAGACAATAACAACAACAACAACATCACACACCCCATACTTAACCCCATCATACGCAACCCACCCCCCCGCCTTTTCACCCTTTCTATACTAACCTCCTTTGCATTGAACTTGTATTTTAGCACGCCCGCGCCCCACCCCCTTTGCCAATTGAAACCTCTTGCCTTTTGGTTTTCTTGCAAGATGCCACAGCCCGCATATTTCTGTTGTTAGACTTGGCAACCAGTTACGCTTGTGCGTGTGTGCATACTTTTAGGCGCTACTGTAAAAGGGCTACAGCTACAGCCCGCCCACCCATCAAAAACTTCAAAAGCGACTTCACTGCGACTTTCGAGCATTTTGTGGCAATGGAACTAAATGCTCGGATTTATGTCTAGCCTGTGTGTGTTGTGTGTGTGTGTCTGTGTGTGCGTGTGTGTCCCTTGCAGGTGTTACTCATACGCCTAGTCGGCTGACAGCTCACAACAAATTGCTTGGCACATCGCGTCCTCCTGCCTAAGTCAAGGTTGCCCTAGGATGAGCTCAGCAGCTTAAGTCAATGCCAGTCTCTGAAGTTGAGCCAACTCCTAAGCCAAAAACTTGCACATAACCCAAGCACACACACACTCACACAAGCTTACACACTCACACACACACACACACATATTGACTGAGTCCAAGCTGTTCGCCTGGGCTCAACGAAGACTCCCGACGGAGTTGCTCAACTACACAAAAATGTCAGTCGTTTGGTTCCTTTTGCTGGATTTCCTCCACCCAGCTCAAAGCCTGCCAGCAGTCCTGCTCGGCCTGCTCTCGGCTGGCTGGCCATTGACTTTGTCCACCCACTTTCTACGACCCAGCCCACCCTAGATCCCCAGTTGCTTTTCTTGTACCGTTTTAATTAATGGAAAATTTGTACGTTTTCTTCTTATTCATGTGGTCGTTTCTTCAATGCCTCAAGCAAAGGGTAACTCGAACTAAAAGAAATTGCCAGCTAGCATTGAATACGTAGCTTAACCCCAAAACTCGCCGCCACCCCCCGCCCCAAAAAACCCCAACCCTTAAGTCCAAGTCCAAGCAGTTTGGCCTCATGTTGCGCATCTCTTCGACTCTGTTGGCTATTTTCGTTTGACAGTGTACAAGATCCAAATTGCCATTTGGTTTTCTCTTGGCTTGATTACAAAATTGACTTGGGAGTTGTTGCTTTAAGTAAGTTGCATCACTTTTCGTTAACTTGACAACTTTCTTGTTAACAGTAAAAAAACCTATTATAAAATAAACTGTAGCTTATTCTTGATTTATCTATGCTTATCTTTTAATTACAATAGCTTTCATTTGGGTCGAAAGTGAGGGAAAGTTGGGAGGAGCTATGGCTTACGAGCGAGAAGTCGCTGGTTCGAATTTGGCAACAATTGTTAGCTTATATATATGTTGGCATTTCATTATTATTCAAAAATTAATAATACATTTAAAAATAAACAAGACGCGATTAGCATGCACATTTCGAGCAGCCTTGGCACGCATAAATTGACCCGTACGAGGCCGGGTAATTTCCTCTAGTTACCTATAAAATGCAAAACATCTGCCATCTGTACATTCATCAAACAACACCCATTAAGCATTCTTCGGGAGTTTACTTTTTAGCTAGCTCATGGCTTTACTTACAGGCTTTGTAAATCAATTCATGTTTATTACCCCCATGGAATATTAGACTTATACTTACAACTGCTTTGAGCTAAAAGAAGAACCTCTCGCTCAAAGAACACACCTTATGCTAAGTATAATCAGACTCTTTGACTGTCCCGGTAGTCGAGCTACAACTGAATGTTAATTAGGCGCCGTGTTCAAACTTCATTTTCATTTGCTATGCCTGTTACGCCCGCTCGTGCTTCCGTTTTTTTGTGCAATGCTTCAACCTGATTCAACCGACCGGCCCCAAAAGCAGCCGAGCGGGCGAGCGGGCAACCACTGTCCTGCAACCACAACCGAAGGCTGGAGCGAGCTTCAAGGACGGTGCAGGCGGGCCAACGTCTTGGAGTTCAACGAAATGTTTCATTAGAGCAATGCTGGCCACAAATGGCTGAGACCCAAAACGCACCCAAAACACACCGCGCCCTCAGCCTCAAAGTCCAGGCAACTAATTTGCAGCGCAGCATAAAAGGAAAGCATTGAGGGAAATAAGAAAAAAAAACCAATCCGTCCGATAAAAAAGAAACCCAAGCTCGACTTTCATCTTGGGCACGAAAAACTTTGCTGCTCCTTGCCAGCGAGTTGGGTGTCTCTGCAGGGAAAGAGAGGAGAGAGTGTGGCTTCGCTTCTTTGACGCTTTTTGCGCATACTTTTGAGTGGTCTAACGAGCTTGGGGTCTGGCCAAAAACCTCGACTAATCATTGGGATTTGGTATATCGAACGCTGTCCCAAAACTTTGTGCGGTCATTGAAAGTTCCCAAAATTGAACTTGTACTCATCTAACGTGCTCCAACCCCAACTAACCCCCATCTTCTTCTCCTTCCCACAGGAAACCATACCAGCAACACCGGCCACGAGCACCGACACCAGCAGCCTAGTCAGTGTAGGCGGCGGCATTGGTGGCGGTGGAGGCGGCGGCGGCGGCGGCGGCGGCGGTGGAGGTATTGTCGGTGCCGGCAGCGGACTGGTTGACATTGCGAGCAGCCTGGGCGGAGGTGTGACCAGCGAGTCGGAGGCCTACGCGGGTCTCATGAAGGATGCGGACAAACTGAAGCTAATGCTGCTCGCCTGGAACTATCAGAACTCGACGGCGGTGCGCAATGGCACCGAGGGACCCGACCTCAGCGTTGTGGGTGGCCTCTGGGCGCAGTATCAGAATGCTTTGGCCCAAAATGCCGCAGCGGTGGCGGCGGCCAGCGGCAAAATGGACAGCTCTCTGTCGCCGGTGCCCAGGCAGGATACGAATTCGCCCATGGAGGCGCAGGATGAGACAAACTCGTCGGGGCAGAAAGAGGAGGATGAGGTTTCCGAAGATGATTCCGATGACAAACTGGACGAGAAACTGGCCACCACACACGATCCCGAGCGCCTCAAGGCCTTCAATGTGAGTAATGTGCGAGAGTAAGATAGAGAAAGATTGAAAAAGAAAGAGAGACTTGAATGTAAAGCGAACGTTGCCAATGAAGCCGCCAAAAATGGCCAAAATTCCTTGAATTGTCTGTTGCTCACGACGCTCTCCCCTTGCCTTGCAGATGTTCGTGCGTTTGTTTGTGGACGAGAACCTGGACCGCATCATACCCATCTCCAAGCAGCCAAAGGAAAAGATCCAGGCCATCATCGATTCGTGCGCCCGACAATTTCCCGAGTTCAGCGATCGTTCCCGCAAACGTATTCGCACCTATCTCAAGTCGTGCCGTCGCAACAAGAAAACACGAGACGGCTGGGAGAATACGGTGAGTGCTTGACAGAGTTATCTTTAAAGCTATATCTATATCGATATATATAGGAAATATATATCTGAACCATAGTTCAACCTGCATATGACACATTCTTCGCCAGATTTGCCCTTCTTCATGAATCTCAAGCTCTGTTTTTTATTCCTCCTTGCAGACTCGACCGACGCCCGCTCACTTGACCTCCGTGCAGGCGGAACAAATCCTGGCAATTGCCTGCGAGAACGAATCGATGAACGCGAAGCGTATGCGCATCGGCCTAGAGCCAATCACCCATGCGGTGCCGGCGCCGGGCAGCGTTGTTGCCGCTGCAGCGGCCGCAGCAGCTGTTGCCGGCACCAGCAGCACGTCCGCGAGCAACGCCGCCACCGTCACCTGCACAGCAGCCGATGCGGCTGGATTGAGCAGCGTGGCGGCCGCAGCGCTGCCATTTGTGAGCGCCGTGGGCTTTGCACGCTCCACGCCCAACTCGGAGCACGCGGACGCAGCTTTCGGCGGGGCGGCCAACATTGCCGGCGCTGGCAGTGCTGGCGGCAACAGCGCCAGCGGTGCAGCCGGCGGCGGCACTGGTGGCATGAGCTCGGCGCGCAGCTCACCGCTGGCACTCAGCTCGAATGCCAGCATCGGGGGCGCCAGTGTGACGGGCTTGGCGCTGGCCAACGGCGCTGGGGCATCGAATGGCGCCGGCCTGCCCTCCAGCAGTCCCTATACCACGGACTTTAGCTCGCCAACGGCGGCCTCGCCTTTTGTGGCAGCTGCAGCGGCAGCGGCTGTGGCAGCCGGACGTGCGCCCAGCTACCCCGGCTATTTTCCGGGCGTCGCCGGCCTGGGTAATGGTAAGTAAACATCTGCGAATTATTATTATTATTATTTGCAATGACACCAGCTTAAAGCAGCGTTCAAATATGGAATTGAGCTTGGAGGGTTTAAAAAGGAGCACTAGAGTAACATAACATTATTGTGCGCTAAATGAATAAACAGTATTTAAAAATCATTTTTTGTCGTAAGCTTCTAGATGTACAATAAAGCTCGCATCAACAAGCTTGGCAAGCTTCACCAAGCTTCTTAAGCCACTTGAAAGCTCTAAGTAACCTTTTAAAATGAACAAAAAGCTTTGATCAAAAGCAAAGCAATTGAAAAAACCTACAACAAACTGAAAACCAGTTGGAAAGTACAGCAGTCAGTTGTATGTTAAGCTTTAATCTAAAAATAGTAAGCAAAACCTTAAAGCTTTGAGGAAACAGCTAAAGCTCAGCTTTGAGACAACTGATAGTCACAAGCTAACCTAAAAAGGCTTCAAAGCTTTAAACTGTTCACAATGCATTTAGAGCCTAAGTTTAGTCCAGCACTTAATCAATCTTCAGTTTTAATCAAGTGTCATTGCATTATTAGCATCATGTTTAGGTGATATTTAATTTAGACAAACTCTAGCTAATGTCTTGTTTCCTTCTTCTTGCAGTTACGCCCACCGATCTCTCCATGAAACCAACGTCGCTGAGCGCTGGCAGCGGCCTCGCCGGCGGCGGCAGCAGCAACAACAGCAACACAGTCAGCGCACAGCTGAGTGCCGCCAATCTGGCCGCACTGAGCAATGCCAGCAACAACAATGCGCTGGTCACCGCCACACAGCAGCTGCAGCAGCTACAGCAGCAACAGCAACAACAACAACAACAGCAACAGCAGCAGCAGCAGCAACAGCAGCAACAACAACAGCAGCAGCAGCAACAACAGCAGCAACAACAGTTGCTCGCCGCATCCGGCGACGGCAACTGCTCGCGTGTGCCGCCCATACTTCCACACAAGCTGAGCCCCAACGAGATGACCGCTGCCCGGCAGGTCATCTCGGCGTACAGGGAGAGCGCTGCTTTTCTGCTGCGCACCGCTGACCAGGTGGAGCAGCTGCTCGTCCAGCAGCAGTAGGCGTGGCAAGGGTAAGCGCTCGTGGTGGTGGTGTCGGTAGCATTGGCGGTGGCGGTGGCGGGTATCGGGGCACTCTTTCCAGACCCAAGCGACGCGTAGCGCGCGCGCGGGTTGTTCCTATTTAAATTTAAATTTATTTAAATTTTAGCAAAAGCAACAACAACAACAACAACACCAAGCAACTAAGCAAATTAGAAAGCGATAATAGTCAAAGCATAGAAGAAAAAGCAAAAAAACCAAAAGCATAAAACCCAAAAACAGAAAATAGTCAAAAAGTTCGTTTTAACAAGCATTTTAAGTGTTTTTCCTCCAAAATACGTACAGCATATTACAAAATAGAAATAACGGTAAAGCAAACGATTTAAAAAACATAATACCGAAGAAAAATACCAACAAAATACCAAAAACCAATCAGTAAATATTGCAATTATCAAAGCAGCAAATCAGTTTATTATTTTCTAGTTCAAAAGCTCGCAGCATAAATCTGATAAATATTATTTCCCGAACTTCCCCTACTTTAATTAAGTATTAACTCAGTTTTTAAAGAAAATCTTCCTAACTTCACTCAATTATTGCGGTCGCTTGAACTAAAAAATAATTAAACTGATTTAAATTAAACCAAAAAACAAAAACAATTAAATAAGAAATCAGCAACAAATTAACTTACTACAGTGTCTACTAAAAGTAAAACTACAATAGCCACACCCAGCACACCCAAAAAAAAAAATATTAAAAAACACAAACATACACACTCGCATTGCGTTCTAGTTTTTGTTGAGATTTTAGAAAATAAAGATGATTATTAAAATTTGAATGCTCTACGCGGAGCTGCAATTTCCGGCCCAGTTCGAAGTGCGCGATTTGTTAAAAAACATAAAACATAAAAAGTAAATATAATATTGTATGTAATTAAGTTGAGGTATTGTTGTAAATTTTAAGGCGTATCAGAAGAGAGAAAAAAAACACACACATTTTAAGGCAACAAACACGACAAAAAAAGAAAAAAGACATTATTTAAATATATGGGAAACTATGAGAAAACACAGGGTGATACTTTCAGAAATTATTACAAAAAAAAAACTAAGCTAAAAATTAAATAAAAATTAAATATGTGTATAAAAAATATAAGGCAAGACATGGCATAGACGTTGGTATATGTGTATTTAAAATATATATATAAAACAAAAAAAAAAAAACAAAAACAAAACGAATGAGTGTTTTTCCTATTAAACATTTAAATTTAACTTTTAGCTTTTAGTTTCTTTTTCCAATAATTTCTTTAAGCGGACTATTGTTTGACATTTTTTCTGTAGCACTGTTGAATTTTTGATTATTTTCTTCTAACTTGTTTAAATTTTAATATGCATACGAAATACGAAATAAAATATTTAAATACAAAATAGCCATTAATGTTTTTTGCAACTATAAATGTGCATGTAAAAATAAACATTACGAAAATTTAAAATTAAATTAAAAAAAAAAAATTTCTAAATCGAACGAGAGGCAAATCGGTTAAGATCGTATGAAAAAAAACGCTATGCAAAGCAAATTATAGAATTTAATAATATAAATCAAATGCAAAAGGAAACGGTATTTAATCAACAAATAAATTAATATTAATAATACGAAACGATGGGAATTCAGTTCAGATAATTTTTGCTGGCCAGGCAAAACGATAAATATAATAACAACAACGAAAATTTATTAACTATAATAATTATGGATTGGTATTTGCATAGAAAAGTAAACTAATTAAAATGTCCGAGAACGCAAACGAAAAGAGAAAACACAAAAACCAAACCAAAACATTTTAAAAGTCGACTTAATAAAGAATTTATGAGAATTATATGTATATTAACCACTTGTTGCAATTATTAAATACCTGCTAAAGGGCAGCAATAATTGCTTTAAAACTGTACCGCATAGCAGCGGCACAAACCTTTTTACTGTGTAATTTGTTTCAATTGCCCAATTGAAAACTGTTCCGTTTTCATGAACCATAAACTACACTTGTGGTTCTTAAAAAACGATGCTGTTTATTAACCGATTTAATTTAGCTCATTGGCACCTCAACTGCATAACAAATTTACATTAATTACCTAGCACAGTTGTTTCATAACCATGTTCTCATTATGATTTAGCATATGCGCAAACCATCACAGTCGGCTTCAAACTGCTTATCCGTTGTTCCGATATTGAGCTAATCACAGCCCTTTGAAAACTATGATTTCATAGACTTAGCATATGCACACGCCCATCATACAGTCATTCCCAAACTGCACTTCCAATTGCTCTCATATTAAGCGAAACACAGTCGTTTCAAAACCATATGTTTATAGTGATTAAGCATGTGCACAAACCTGCTATACAGTGAATCCCAAGCTGCACATCCAATTGCTCTCACATTGAACCCAGCACAGTCGTTTCAAAACCATATTCTTTCTAATTCAGCATGTACACAAACTGTTCGGTCATATACCTCATATATACATTAGTCAGGGTATCAATAGCAATGTCAAAGCAGATTATGTTAAGATTATGGTAATTCTCTTCTATTTGAATGTCATAAGCACTCATACACATGTACGAAGTCTCGCTCTCTTTCGAACTCTGTAATTGCTCGGTCCCTTTAATCTTAATTTATGTTAAGAAATCAGTTCTGTAAGCATCATCATAGAAGTCAGTCGTGTTGCTCATCAAGTTGTAAAACCTTTATTAAAACTTCATACCATCCACACACGCCCACTTGAGATAAGATTCTTAAAAGGTCAAAAAAACGCTTTTGATCCAACATTTTGGCGCCCAACATTGGGGCTAGTGTGTGGAAATTGACGGCATATCGTTGCCGCACAACATTTCGTTGGAGAAAGGTTTTATCAAACTCTTCGCAAAATACAGCATCGACAGCAACATTTGGCCAGCTCTTCTTTCTCGTTGCCGTTGCTTCGTCGCTGGAAACTCGCTACCTTCGCTTCGCTACTGCATTCTTGTAGCCGTTATACTTCGCGCTGGATACGCTCTGAGTTTGATTGCTCATTGCCTTTGCTTCACAGCTTCTTTCTCGTTGCCGTTGCTTCGTCACTGGAAACTCGCTACCTTCGCTTTGCTGCTGCATTCTCGTTACCGTTGCTTCGTCGCTGGAAGCTCGCTGCCTCTGCTTGTTCACTGCATTTTGCTTCATCACTGCAAGCGACCCTCACATCGGTGAGCGCAACATTTACAAGTCTTAGCTGTTCTGTTAACAGTGGGAGCATTCGAACTGTCGCTCGCTCACATCGGTGAGAGTGACATTATCAGGTTAAAGTTAGGCTACGAACATTTTGCAGTATCAGAACTGTCGCTCGGTCACATCGGTGATCACAACATTCTCGATACATAATGTCAACTCTTGAAGCAAACTTACGTAAGCGAGCGAACATAAAACGCAATATCGCACACTTAGAGGATGTTGTAAGAGTGTCTACTGAGGTCGATGGCAGTGAAAAAAGATTATCACACGGTGAGCTACAATTACGCTTGGACATGTTGGAGATATACATTATAAGGAGGTTTTGGAAGTACAATCTGAAATTGAATTGGAAGATCCTCAGGACAATGGACGTGCAGAGGTGGAAGACACATATGTGAGTATCAAATTGTCCATCCAATCCCAACTGGATGATGTACTGCACAGCACCTCATTTTCTAACCCTGCTCCAATTCGCTCTTCGCCGCCATCGAGTCTTCCTCGATTGGCTCCGCCTGTATTTGATGGGAAACGAGCAGAGTTTAAAAACTTCATTACATCATTCAATCAGATTATCGGTCGTGAGTACTCTCTTTCGAACATTGAAAAGTTTAATCATCTGCTGAATTGCTTGAAGGGCCCTGCCCTACAGGCAGTAAAGGCATTCCAAGTGACTCAGGAAAATTATCCCAAGGCTCTTGCTCGTTTAAGCAAACGTTATGACAATCCTACACTTAAATTTTTAGACACAATAGAATCACTTTTCAATCTACAGTCAGTCGACAAACCGGACGGAAATCAGCTGCGCAGTCTGCTGGACAATGCGTCAGCCCTGTATTCATCATTATCGTCATTTGGGTACCGGATCAGATATTGCCCAAGCCATGTTGATATTCATCGTTATCGGAAAATGTGACTAGCAAACTCGTAACAAGTGGAATGAGTCTCTTGACTTACGTACATTGCCAAATTGGGCTCACTGCACAACTATTTTGGAACGTCATTGTCAGTTTCTGCAATCAAGCGGCATTGCGTCGTATCGAATGGCTGATTCTTCGAAACAAAAACACGTGTACAAGCCTAGCAAGGGATTATCATTTGCTATTACTAATCCAACATGCATTGTTTGTTCCAGCTCCGACCATAAAATTGTACAATGTTCTCAGTTTCAAGACATGAGTCCTAAACTCAAGTACGGAGTCGTAAAAAATGCTGGACTTTGCATTAATTGCCTTCAATTAGGACATCGGATGGCTCAGTGTCCGTCTAACAATCGTTGTCGAAGCTGCAAGCATCGCCATCACACGCTTCTGCATTTTGGCCAACCGCCTGCATCATCATCGTCTACATCGCCATCATCCATAGCGCAAATGTCCTCAACAACGACTCCTGCTGCAACGCACTCGCATATGAATCAATCGCCAGGCGGACAAATAATTCTTGCTACTGCAAAGGTACTAGTGCGAGATTCATCAGGGGCGTATAAACAAGGCAGAGCATTGCTTGACTCATGCTCCCAAGTCAATTTCATAACTGATCAATTCGCCCAACGGCTGCATCTACGCCGTGATAAGCATCATTTCGAAATCCGCAGCATAGGGGAGACCTCGACTAAAATTAACAACTGTACAACTACTGGAATTAAATCTCGTTTGTCACCATTTGAAGTAACACTACAGTTCTGCATAACGTCTCACATTGCCTACTAGCCGGATTCGGAAATCGACACCTCAGATTGGAGGTTGCCCGCGAATACACCACTTGCGGACGAAACTTTCCACAGGTCAGGTCGGATTGATCTCCTTCTCGGCACCGAGGCATTTTTCGAATGCCTGGCTGTTGGACAGATTAAGCTCGGAGACAATTTGCCAGTCCTTCAGAAAACGTTGCTTGGATGGGTTGTGTCTGGCAAGTATCGTCATCAGTCAGTTAAGCAGTCATCAACGTGCTTGCTTTCTGTGGAGGAGTCAATTGACAAAAATCTTCAATTACTGTGGAGCATTGATGCTCTAGAAAATTCTCCAAAGTCAATCAATCCAGAACATCGGCTCTGTGAAGATATGTATTCAAGGACAACACAGATGAATAACGGCAGGATTGTTGTGCGTCTACCTTTCAAGGGAGATCCAGTGTGCCTTGGCAATTCAAGCGATGTTGCACGTCGTCGTTTTTTATCGCTCGAGAGGCGCCTCAGTCAGCAGCCTACTGTTCAATCGCAATATGTAACTTTCATGAAAGAATATGAGGATCTTGGCCATATGACTTTAGTGACGAATCCGAGATTAAGTGAACCACACTTTTATATACCTCACCATTGTGTTTTTAAACCCAGCAGTGCATCAACGAAGTTACGAGTCGTGTTTGACTCCTCGTGCACTACATCGTCCCAGCATTCATTGAATGATTTGCTTCTCGTTGGCCCAACACTCCAAGAAGATCTGTATATACTTCTCCTTCGTTTTCGATTGGTTCGTTACGCCATCACAGCGGACATTACGAAAATGTATAGACAAGTTTTAGTCAGCCCAGTGGATCGGAAATTTCAATATATATTTTGGAGAGCATCCCCTGATGCTGATTTGCAGACCTTTGAGCTAAATACAGTGACGTATGGAACGGCCTCGGCCCCATACTTAGCAGTTCGCAGTTTGCAATATCTGGCAGATCTGCATGTCAACGAGTTTCCCATTGGCGCATCCATTGTAAAATCATCGTTTTATGTTGATGATCTGCTATGCGGAGCAAACGAGCTCATCGAGTTGCAGAACATCAAACACGAGGTCACCGAGATACTTCGCCGAGGACACTTCCCATTGGTTAAGTGGCACTCCAATCATCCCGCCGTCAGGAACGACGAATCGGTAAAGGATTTAAACTTGGATGAAAACGCTGTCACTAGCGCACTTGGCGTAGCTTGGGATCAACGTCGTGATGTGCTACTATTTGAATTTAAGCCCAAAAAATTGTATTCAACAGTCACAAAGAGGACTATTCTCTCGACTGCGTCTTCTCTGTTCGATCCATTAGGATTGCTGGCACCAATCATTATCGTCTCGAAAATCATCATACAGGAGCTATGGCTGCTAAAACTCGCCTGGGATGAATCTGTTCCGCAATCACTTCTACAAGCATGGAGAAACTGCGTAACGTCTCTCAAGGAATTGTCGTCGATCTCAGTACCCCGTTTTTGCTTGCAAGCTGAGCTCACAGACATACAACTGCACGCTTTCTGTGACGCATCAATACGTGCTTACGGCTGTTGCGTATATGTGCGTTCCACGGACTCGTATGGCAATGTCCAGGTTCAGCTTCTGACTGCTAAATCTCGGGTGGCTCCTGTCAAGAAGCTGACGCTTCCTCGATTAGAGTTAAGCGGAGCTCAACTTCTGAGTAAGTTATATACAACTGTCAAAAACATATTCATCGGCAAGCCGCACAGCGCGCATTTCTGGTCTGATTCGCAGATTGTCTTGCACTGGCTGCAACAACACTCTATCACCTTGTCGACATTTGTTGGAAATAGAGTATCCATTATACAAGATCAAACAGCAGAAGATGGAAAGTGGAGACATGTACCGTCAAAATTGAACCCTGCTGACATAGTGTCACGTGGATGCCCAGCTAATGAGCTCCAGCAATCAATTTGGTTTACAGGACCTGCGTTTCTGCGTGATTCCGAGACTCAATGGCCCTGCCAACAATTCGACAATGATTTGGACATGGACATTATCGATGCTGAAAAACGGAAGTCTACATTTGCTGCAATTATCGAAAGTAATTCTATTCTGGACTGGCTGAACGGAACTAGTTCATATATTCGGGCGCTTCGAGTTATGGCATATATGTTCCGGTTTTACCATATTGCCAAAAAGGAACACCCTGTCGAAAGTTCGCCGCCATGCCCAGAAGAACTTCGCCACGCGTTGCACTGCATCATCAGGATCATCCAACAGCACTATTTCAAGGAAGATTTGCAATTGCTAAGGAAACAAAGAGATTTGAAAAGCAATCTGAAATTTCTCAGCCCCTTCATAGATGACTCTTCTGGATACGAGCTCATTAAGGTTGGCGGCAGACTCGAGCATGCTGATATCTCCCCTCTCGCCAAAGGCATCCTTTACTTGTTCCCAAGGAATCGCAATTTGTCCACAATTATGTTCGGCATCTTCACTTGCGCAATTACCATGCAGGACCAAAGGCATTAGTTGGACTGCTGCGGCTTCAATTCTGGGTCATAAACGCAAGAGCTTTAGCACGCAGCATTGTTCGTTCTTGTGTACACTGTGTCAGATATCGCCCAGTTCTACTTCGTCAAGTCATGGGTTCCCTGCCACCTGAGCGCTTATCCACAGACAAGCCATTTCGCCACGTTGGAGTCGACTTCTGCGGTCCAGTGAACACCTATCTTCGAATACGTGGCAAGGGTCCCACAAAATCCTATATCGCCATATATGTCTGCATGGCCGTAAAGGCCGTTCACATTGAAATCGTGTCAGATCTTTCAACGAATAAGTTTTTGGAATCGTTGAAACGCATGGTTGCCCGTCGTGGACCAGTATCGCACATCTATTGTGACAACGCCACAAATTTTGTCGGAGCATCCAACAAGCTACTCGAGTTGAAGAAGTTCATGTTGTTCAACATAGCACTCAAGATGCTATCCTATCATATTGTTCCTCTGAAGAGATAACCTTTCATTTCATTCCACCTAGGGCTCCACACTTTGGCGGTCTTTGGGAGGCCGCTGTCAAGAGCGCAAAGAGTCTGCTGGTGCGTACCCTCGCTAACACCCGGTTCACCTTTGAGGAACTGAATACCGCAGTCGTTGAGATAGAAGCAGTACTCAGCTCTCGCCCGCTGTCACCGCTATCATCTGATCCCAACGACTTCAGCGCTCTCACTGCAGGACACTTTCTAAATGGAGATGCACCGCGCGCTTTGCCCGAGCGTGAGATTGTCACCAACAACATCTCCAACTTGGATCGTTACGAGCAGATCACAGCTGTTAAACAGCAATTCTGGCGTCGTTGGTCTGCGGAGTATGTGAACGAGCTTCGAGCCAGGACAAAGTGGACTTCGGCTTCCCCAAATCTCACAGTTGACTCTATGGTCATCATACATGAGGACAACACACCGCCATTACACTGGAAATTAGGGCGTGTTGAGTCTGTTGTGTGAGTGGCAAAGATGACCGTGTTCGTGTCGCATATATTCGCACTGCCTCTGGACTCTGTTGCCGGCCAGTACATAAGCTAGCTGTTCTACCTGTCTCTTGAAAGATAATTCTTTCAAGGCGGCCGGGATGTTCGGTCATATACCTCATATATACATTAGTCAGGGTATCAATAGCAATGTCAAAGCAGATTATGTTAAGATTATGGTAATTCTCTTCTATTTGAATGTCATAAGCACTCATACACATGTACGAAGTCTCGCTCTCTTTCGAACTCTGTAATTGCTCGGTCCCTTTAATCTTAATTTATGTTAAGAAATCAGTTCTGTAAGCATCATCATAGAAGTCAGTCGTGTTGCTCATCAAGTTGTAAAACCTTTATTAAAACTTCATACCATCCACACACGCCCACTTGAGATAAGATTCTTAAAAGGTCAAAAAAACGCTTTTGATCCAATACAAACCAACCGTTTAATATTTAAATGAAAATTTGTTTTTTATATTTTATTTTATATTTATTAATTATATAAAACAAATAACGCTTTGCATCGACTTAATTACGAAACTTAATTTAGATAATTTTCGATTGGATTTCACGACCAAACAATAAATTAGATATAAAAATTCTTAATATTACCCCATTTTTTCGCTGTTTTTTTTTGCATTCTAAAAACATTTCTTTTTACACATCTTTAAATTTTTTTCTCTTTCACTTAAATTAAACTATTTCTATTTTTAATGACTGTTTATGAAAGCGAAAGAAAAAATACAGAAAATACATTAATGGAAGCACCAAACTTTTTTTTACACTCATTTCCCATTTTATGCTTATTTCGTTGTTGTTTTTGTTGTTGTTATTTTTGCACCAATTCTCTATAAGATCGCGATTTCTGTGGCAAGATTTCACAAACAATTTGCTACGCATGTGATTAATTATGAAAAAAATCCCCCCTAAAGTTTGGTCGACGCAACCAAAAATAAACTTAACCACTAACCACTGCAATAACAAGGCCCACTCTCAAAGCGGGGCCGATCGCAGACTCAAGTCGTTCACGCAAGGACTCCATCCAAAGCATGGATCACACCATTGGTGGCTGGTATATTCGAGGTGACCATCTGGGCATCATTCACTTTGATCTTGCCGGCAGAGGTCTTTTGCAGCACAACTGTTTTGCCCGTGAACAGCGAATCCTTAACCTGATAGAAGCGCATGCCGGCCGAGAAGAGTGCACCAGGCACAATATGCTTCATGGCGAACTCTTCGGCGGCCTCCTTGTCCGTGTAGAGCTTCTCCAGCGTATCGGAATCAAGTTCGCTGAAGCTCTTGTCCACCGGTGCGAATACTGTGTACGTCTTGACGCCTGGAGATAAAAGTGAACCTAAATTAGTTGACATTGCCATTGAACCAAAAGCCAAATCGAAATGCTGGCTAACCTTTACTCTGCAATTTCTCGGACATGCCGGAGGTGTAGAGTATCTTCAGGAAATTGGAGAAGCGACCCTCGCGATCCGACTGCAACGTTTGCAGCAGATCACCCACGGGCAGCGGGAACATCACACGATCCACTGCATGGGCCACACCCTGAGGTATCTTAATGTCCTTCTTGTTCAGCACAACCATTGCTCCATTAATGGTAGTCAGCTGAAATGAAAGTTGAAGCGCCGATTCAGTTAGATTTTATTGGAGTTCTAGTAAGTATATATATATATATATATATGTATATATACGATTTTAAAAACTCCATAGAATATGAATTTAATAATTATTTTTGTAAAGCTTTCAGTTTAAGTTCAAGTTTAAAGCTAATCAAACGACAATTTTACTTGACCCCAAGCAACCCCCATTTTCCACCTAGTAGTAGATCCTTCCGTAAAATTGAGTTGGAAAAGTTTCGGATTAAACACAATATTTGCATACAACTGTTATCTACAAACATTCTACACTTGCGTTTGAAATTTACTAAAATCTTGCTTTCTAATAATACCGAGTAACTAACTTATGCAAAATGCATCCAATTAACTCTTAAAAGTTCGGGCTGTGCACTGAGCATCAGTCAGTCAATCTGTCTGCTCGATTGTGCTGCAGTTTATATATATGGCTTTAACAACTAAATGCTCTCTTACAGTGACATCATTCCACTCCTGATCGTGCATATTGTACTGATTGACGCGCAGCTGAGTGCCAGCCAGGGACACGCCCGTCATCTCATCCTGAAGCGTGGCTATCTCGAAGGCGCCAGGAATGACATGATGCAAAAGCAGCTGCAAAAGAAAAATCATAGTAAGTACTCATACTGGTAGAAACAGACTAGACTCGTCGCACTTACACCACTCAGCAGTCGTGGATTGGACTGGAATTTCTCCTCGGCACGCTCGGGTCCGCCCAGCTGGACGAGCAGATTCTTGAAGGCCTTGTCCGTAGGCACAAATATGGTATAGGGGCCCGTTTCGTTGAGTATGCTGTCCAGGCCGCTCTGGCGCAGATATTTAGCCATGGCGAAGAGTCCATTGCTCTTGAGTATCTGCAGCAGATCCTCACTGGGATTCGACAGCACCGAGGCGCCTGCAGTGGAAGCAGCTTTCTCTGTGTTCTCTGTTTCCTGCACCAAAGCATCAGCATATTGGGGAGGTGTGTGCGCCAATAGCTCCGGCGTTTGTGTAATATCCGCCAGACGTTCCGTTACCACCGGCAAATGCGTGGATACAGGGCCATTCAGATAGGGCGAAGGGGTGACAGGTGAGGAGTGGTAGACGGGAGCTGGCGTTGTGCGTATAAGACTGGCAGCTGCGGCGCTGGCGGTGCTGCTGCCCTCATAAATGGCTGTGTAGCGGGGCGTATAGGGCGAGCTGGTGGTGCTAGTTGTGGTTGAGGTGGTGCTCGTGGTGGTGCGCGATGGATGATACTGACGATGATTGCTAGGCGTGTTGCGGGAGACAAATGGCGCTGGTGTGGTGGTCGTCCTGGTGGTAGTGGTTGTTCTGGCTGTGATGCTGCTGGGTGGTGCGCGTGTGGTCGTGGTTTGTATAATTTTGCCGCTCTTGATCTCGACAACCTCATCGTTGGGCAGTGTCAGGCGATAAACAGAAGGCGGCAATTTGATCTCGCCGCTGCGGATGCGCTCCAGAATGCTTTCCACCTCGGCGCCCGTTTGTTTGGTCTCCTTCTCGCCGTTGGCCTTAACACCCTGTATCTTAAAACTGCCATCGGCCTGCTCCTCCAGATAGACATAGGTAGCCTTCTTTTTGGGCGGCACTGTGGGCGGTGCCGGCGTCGTCTTGGCAGAGTCAGAGCTTAGGCCCTCAATTTCATAGCCATCGGGTATGAGGCCGCGCTTGGCCAGCTCCTCCAGCGTGGGCGGATCATCCGAATCGGAGGTTATCACCGCTGAGCTGGCAATGCTATTGGCACCATTGCTAACGCCTTGAATATCACCTGCACCGCCGCCATACAAGGCCGCAAGGCTGGACAAATCGACGCCGCCGGTCAGCGCTTGAGCGGGCAACTGGTCCGATTCCTCGGGATCGGGTGAGCGCAATATTTGCACCTTGCCGCCGCCCGGCAGTAGCAGATCCTTGCTCTTGCTGGGCGCCACATTGCTCAGGCCTAGTTTGGCGTCGGTGCCGAGTGCCTGCTGGGCCAGCAGCGCCTGCAGCTGATCCTGTGAATAGGCCTGTTGTCCCTGCACCAGATTCGGGTCCGTAGTGCGTATGACCTGCACACGCTGGCCATTGGGCAGTACCAGATCCATCTCATCGTAGGTCTTGTTACCGGTCAGCGGTTGCTGCGGTGTCTCCGACAGCGCCGCCTTCAGCTGCTTCAGCAGATCCTCGCGTGCAATGGTCTTCACGGGCTTTTTGCTGCTCAGCTTCGTGTTGCCAAATTTGCCCAGCTCCGTTTTCACCTGCGAATATATGTTCTTCTTGGGGGTGGTGCTCGCCTCCGTGGTGGTGGTAGTGGTTGTGGTTGTTGTCGTCGTCGGATGCTCCTTGTAGTACTGCTGCAGCGCGCTATTGAACTGATTGTACTCCGTGGGATGGGCAACGGGTCGGCCACGTGGTGGCTGCACATATTGCAGTTGCGGTGGATAGTTGTTGTGTTGGCTGATGATAGTGGGCAGTACGTGCTGCTTGATGGCATGCTGCTTGGCAAGGAACTCCTCGTGCTGCTGGCGCACCTTGTGCTGCGACTTCTCATACTGCTTGGCCACGAACTGCTCGTGCTTCTGTATCAGCTTCTGCTTGTACTCCTGATCGGCGGGCTGTGCCTGCGGAGCATTGCTGATAAACTGATGCTGTTGCTGGGGGAACAGGGGTTGCTGCTGCTGCTGCTGGTAGGTCTCACGTGAGGGTTGCGCAGGGAACGGAGTGGAGGGCAGGTTGTTAAAGATTTGCGGCAGTGGCAGACCCAGCTGTGGCGTCAACGGATATTGCTGCTGCTGCTGCTGTTGCTGCTGCGTCTGTTGTTGTTGCTGCTGCTGCTGCTGTTTTGCCAAAGACTGTTGCTGATAGTTAAACTGGGATTGCTGCTGCGGCTGCTGCAGCGTCTGGAAGGTCGGCACGGGCGCCTGACTGGGCAGCTTCTGTGTGGTCTGCTGGCCAAACTGTTGGGCTGCTGGTTGCTGGTAAGCAAATTGTTGATGTTGCTGCGGCAATTGCTGTTGCTGCGTCAATTGCTGCTGCTGCTGTTGCTGCTGTTGCTGATAAGCCTGAGCTGGAAAAGCCGTAGATTGCAGGCGTCCATCGGGGAATTGCTTGTGGCGTTGGGGCTGCTGCTGCGAGCTAGCAAAGTTCCGCAAATCCAAAAAGTTCTGATGATGCAGGTCAAGATTGCTGCCAGCTGAGGGCAACTGTTGCTGCTGCTGCTGCTGTTGTTGTGGCGCTTGTGGATATTGTGGCGCAGTTTGCAGTTGGTTTTGCGTTGAGCGCTGGAATTGCAGATTGTTGTGGGGTGGTTGCTGCTGCTGCGGGTATTGCTGCGAAAAGCGATTTCCTTGCTGCTGGTGCTGCGGCTGCTGTTGATGATGATGATGGTGCAAGTGCTGCTGGCGCTGTGGATGCTGTTGCGTTGGTATGGGCACCTCCACGCCTGGTTGCACAAAGTTCTGTTGGTTGTATTGGTGATGCAGATTCAGTTGACGGCGATGCGCATTGTGAAAAGGCAACGGTGGCGGCGGCTGTAATGGAGGGGGTGTAAATTATAGTTGAGGCAAAACATTCGTTTAAAAAGATAACGTAATAGAGAATTTATTACACTAGTAAACTTTGTGCGACCGACTGTTGCTAAAGGAGTTACATGATATACTGGACAATTCTGAATAAGATTTTGCTTGTACATAAATATGTTAAACAAATGAAATGAAACAACAAAACGACGCTTAAATTTCAAATACCCTTTCCAACAATAACGGGAATATACATTTCTTGTTACATCATTCGCTGTTGACAATAATTCCCAAGCAAAACCAGATTTATCGCCAGCGAAAATGAAAACTGGCACAGAAAATTTGCCATTGACTGATCAAAAGTGGGCTGGACCCCGCCCCATAGCAGCAATCGCCTTGCAGATGTGAACCAGTTTTAGTTTTTTTTTGGCCAATGTGTGCTCCATTTTAGATGGCAATAGCAAGATTAGTGCGTTGGCCTGTTCGGGTCCTGCACGTCGTCTATAAAAAGTAGTGTCAAAGTCAGTGAAAAAACCAGTCCAAGTCTTGTACTTGCCCGCAACCATATTTGTATTTCACTCAAAGTCGATCTCAACAAATATAAAGCGAAAGTTCGCGAATTACGCCACAGGAAAAATATTTAATTGATGCGCAATCGTATTCCGTTCTTTTGCATTCCAATGTATACACACTTATGTATGTATGTGAGTGTAGCAAAACATGTAGTGAAGACAAAGTACCGCACACGAAAAGCGAAGCAAGGCAAAAAAAAAAATGGTCGATCGCAAAGTGAATTCCGAAATTCGAAATACGAAGAGAGCAATAAGAAGAAGGTGTGCTTAACAAACATTGCGCCGGCTACTTTTTTTCTTATTCGCTGCGGCTGCGCATGCAGATAAAATTTTTCTCGTGTGTATGTTTCCGCTTAACATGTGTTCTGAGCTAAAACGAATTATTTGAAAATTCATTTTAATTTATTATGTCTACTTAAAAGTAATTACAAAGAGCTTTTCAACATATTTTACTTTGCTTATATTTTACAATGGCAACAGGTTACTAGCCTTGACCTATTATCGAAATTTTTTGGTATATCGATAATTATTGGAAATTATTGGTAACTATTGGTGGAAAAGTTTTATTACGCACATTTGCAATTCCATATTAAAATATTTTAATTTAGTTCTTAGTATATAATTGAACTAGTTTTCCGTGAAATTTTAAATCGCAAGTGCGGAATGTGAGAATATTTGCCAGAGTGTGGAAAAAGAGAGATTTTCAAGAAGCCATCAAATTGTGTCGCAGTTAATAATAAAGACATTGAGTTACGCCGTTTGTTTCCTCGCAAGTGATGCGCCGCTGGAAAAAGTGTGTTGCAATAGACAAATTTCTTTTGTTTTTCGTTTTTTTTTTCAATTGCAATTGTAAATCGTCGCCGTTGCCTGGGATCTTTTACAAAGCTTATACAAGCCGAGGTGAGGCTCAAACTGCTTGTCATACGCATAGCTTACGCATCCAGTTGGAATGGAATGATGCGGCACAAAGGCAGGCAAAACAAAACGCAGTAAAAAATAGCTATACCAACAACAGCATAAAAACAAAAATGTTAAACTACAGTTATTCAACGAGAAGATGAGCGGACAATGTACGGTGGGGCAGGTGTAGTGGTCGCAGTTGGATAGGTGGAAGGGGACGGAGCATAGACTTATAAAATGCTTAGCAGCATGCATAATTTTTATTGCCCAGACCCATAAATCTTACGGCTTTTGCATTATCTTGCGACATTTGGGATGCGTCTGCAAGATTTTCAAAGTTGTATGCCTTTTATGCCGTACTCAACGCAACGCTCCCCCTTACGCTTCAGCCTCTGCGCTGCCCTAACAGCTTTTTCTTTTCGCATAGTAATCGTAATTATGTTGTTACCGCTAATGATGCAGCTCATCATCGGCGCTGCCGTCAAAGCTGCCAATCGCGCAGCTGATTATGCAATTCCCCACGTAATGCAGCAGCTCCTAAGTTTTTTTTACCTGTGAAGCCAAAAAGTTGTGTGGGTTAAATTTTCAAAGGGTTTCGCTGGCTTTTGCTTAAGCTGCGTTATTCTTTAGAGTTTCGCTTATGCTTT